AAGACCTGAAAAATTATCTTTTCTTGGGCCTTCTTTAAAAAAAATACCACATTCATATTTTTAAAGGCCTTTTATTTATAGAAGTCCGCCGGAAGGCCTCAAGAAGCCCTTTAGAATGTATGCTGCCAATAGAAGACCATTTTACAGGACTTCAGAGCCATTTATGATTCATTTTATCATTCAAAAAATTTTGACGGCTTTCAGTGGGTCTTCATGGCTTATTTTTCCAGATATTCAAGTTCCTACAAAGTGTCTTGAAGACCTGTAAAATTACATGCATACAAATAATCTCTCTTCTTCTATAAAAATAGTGCCTAAAGCCTCTAGATAACCTTGAGCAGATATTCTGTCAAAAGAATACCATTTTACAGATTTTCAGAGATATTTATTGGTATTTTCATCCTTCAAAGTCACTTATGGGTCCTTTCATCCTCCACAAAAGACAATTTCACATGCCTTTAAGATCAATTTTGGATCTTTGAAATCTTCAATAGATCTTGGATACATTCTACAGGGCATCACAATTTTAGAGAAATTCAAGTTCCATCAAAAGATCTTAAAGACCCGAAAATTGTAAGATATATCCATAGTTTAACAGGCCTACAAATGCTTTAATGGACCTTCAAATTCATAATATACGTGTCTCCTAAGGGTCTGCGATAGAGTTCTAAATATAGAAAATCGTTAAGTGCGTTGAGCCCGTCTCTGATATTCTCTCTCCCCTCATCAATCTTTTCAATCTAACAAATTGTCAAAAGGCCCAGTGATTGATAGGCCTCTGTATAAGTAATCTCCTTTGGGCCTTCCATTGAGAGAATATCTTGTAGACATCTTTCAAAGGTTCTGTGATGAATTTCTAAATATAGAATATCTCTAAATATAGCTTCTCTATGACGATATCTCGCCCCAATCCTTTCAATTCTAACAATGGCCAAAAAGACCAGTATATGGACTACTGTATAAAATATCCCTGTTAGGTCTTCCATTGAGAGACTATCTTCTACAGCTCTCTTAGAGGTTCTTTTCTAAATATAGAACATCTCTAAATACGTTAAGCATTTCTCTGACATTATCTCCTCCCAATCCTAAATAGTCGAAAAGGCCTGTAGATAGACCTTTATATAATAAATCTCCTATAGGCCTTCCATCGACAGAATATTTTCTACAAGTTTTCTTAAAAGTCCGATGATGAATTTCTAAATATACAAAATCTTTGTGTCGAGCTCCTCTCCGATATTCTCTTCACGATTCTTCCCTTTCAATCCTACAAAAGGCCTAAAAGGCCTGTAGATGATGGGTCTCTATATAAAGGAACTACTTTATGCCTTCCATTGACAGACTACCTTCTACAGGTCTCTTAAAGGTTCTGTGATAAATTATAGAACGTATCTAAATATGTGATGCTCCTCTCTGATATTCTCTCTCCCCAATCCTACACATTCTCGAAAAGGCCTGTAGATTTGTCTCTGATAAAAGGGTCTCCTAAGGGATTTCTGAATATAGTACATCTCTTGATGTATTGAGCTCCTCTCTGACATGATCTCCCCCAAAAACCTTCTCAATTTCCCCTCTAAATCAGCATTCTCCCCATATTGCGATGGAGGACATTATTTATGGTAGTTGTATTTATTGTATTTACCTTGGTTGTTATTTTAATTGTGTTGAAAGAGTTATTTGTTCAACGAATCATCTCATTTTGTTATTAATCATACACACACACACATACATACATACGTGCCTACATTTATGTACATGCATGTATAGTTATCTACATACACATTAGTCGTGTTTTGTTTATATTAAAATGTCACCTCATACCACATTCATTCACATTTTCACAGAAAACAAAATACAATAGCTTTGTTCCCTAACCAATTTCAAATAAGATTTTGTAATTTAGCTGAATTAAAATCTCCCAAAAGTCAGCTAAGTTTTAATGATAGATTAGAAATTCAGCTACGTTCTTAATTAGTCGAAATAATTTACTTTAGAGTTTTGTCAAGGGAATCGTAATTCGGAAAAAAATATTCCAAAGAAAAAAAACAGGTTTTGGCTTAGCAAAATCAAAATATTTAAAGTAACGGAATTCCGCTGAGCTAAAAAAAATAATAGATTCAAAAAAAAAAAAATAGATTCAGTAAATAATTCTGATTGAAAAAAAAATTCAAAAAATTGGTTTCTGTAAATTTTGTCAAATTTTTTATTAAAAAAAATATATTCTTTTTTTATTAAAAATATTTATTTAGCAAACTTTTACCACAAAAAAATTCAATTCAACTAAAGTTTTTTTTAAGAAAAATTAGCAGACATTTCCAATTCAGCTACGTTTTTCACATAGAAAACTCAATTCGGCAACAATTTTCTCTGGAATATTCAATTCAGCTAAGATTTTTTTAATAAAAATTTTGGATCTGTGGACTTCAGTTCAGTAATTTTTTTTATAAAAAAATCTGCAACCTTTATAAGTAAAAAAATGCTGCGACTTAAATAAAATATAATAAAAATCCTGTTTTTCCTATTCATTTATATATTTTTTATAAAAATTTTAAAATTTATTTATTTATTTTTTTTTATTTATTTATTTATTTTTTTTGAAAAATTACAATTTCAATTTCTAAGATTCTAAAAATTTTTAATAACAAATTTGGATCTGTGGACTTATACGCTAGAAAGTATTTTGAATTCAGTTCAGCAAAGTTTTCTATACAAAAAAAAAGAAGAAAATCTGCAACTTTTATAAATAAAAAAATGCAGAAACTTTTTTTTCATAAAAGTCCCGCTTTTCGTATTCATTTACATTTTTTATAAAAAATCGCATTTTTTTTTTTTTTTTTTTTTTTTTTTAAATACAATTTCAATTTCTGAGATTCTAAGATTTTTTAATAACAATTTTGGATCTCTGGACTTACACGCTAGAAAGTATTTTGAATGCAGTTCAGCAAAGTTTTCTATAAAAAAAAATCTGCAACTTTATAAGTAAAAAAATTCAGAGACTTTTTTTCATAAAAGTCCCTTTTTCCTATTCATTTATATTTTTTATAAAAAATTACAATTATTTATTTTTTTCTAAAATTACAACTTCAATTTCTGAGATTCTGAAAAATATTTTGAATCCAACTCAGCAAAATTCTCTGCAATCTGCAAAAAAATCTGCAACTTTTATAAGTAAAAAAATTCAGAGACTTTTATTCATAAAAATCCCGTTTTTCCTATTCATTTATATTTTTTTATAAAAAATTAAAATTTATTCATTTATATTTTTTTATAAAAAATCACAATATATATTTTTTTTTTTTTTTTTGAAAATTACAATTTTAATTTCTGAGATTCTAAGATTTTTTAATAACAATTTTGGGTTTCTGGACTTATGCACTAGAAAGTATTTTGAATCCAATTCAGCAAAGTTTTCTATAAAAAAAATCTGCAATTTTTATAAGTAAAAAAATTCATAGACTTTTTTCATAAAAATCCCGTTTTTCTATTCATTTACATTTTTTTTTTATAAAAAATTACAATTTTTATTAATTTTTTTTTTTTTTTTTTTTTTGAAAATTACAATTTCAATTTCTGAGATTCTAAAATTTTTTAATAAATTCAGTTCAGCAAAGTTTTCTATAAAAAAATCTGCAACTTTTATAAGTAAAAAAAATCTGAGACTTTTTTCATAAAAGTCCTGTTTTTCCTATTCATTTATATTATTTTTATAAACATTAAAATTGAACAGTGTGGCTTGTTTGTTCGGGATACCGTAGTATTTTGTTGTTGCAAAATGGTCAGGCTTATCCCTCTATTGTTGTTTTTATAAAAACAACGTTTGTTTATTAGTGGAGAACGATGGTAATGTTTACCAGGGGGTAAGGCAGGGAATACCTAGGTTTCGGAAAGAGCCACCAATCCTCATCAGTTCCCTTGTTTTTTAAAATTTATTTATTTATTTTTATTTATTTTTTTTTTTTTTTTGTTTTTTTTTTTTTGAAAATTACAATTTTAATTTCTGAGATTCTAAGAGTTTTTAATAAAAATTTTGGATCTCTGGACTTATACGCTAGAAAGTATTTTGAATTTAGTTCAGCAAAGTTTTCTATAAAAAAAAAATCTGCAAATTTTATAAGTAAAAAAATTCATAGACTTTTTTTCATAAAAGTACCGCTTTTCCTATTAATTTATATTTTTTATAAAAAATAGTTTTTTTTTTTTTTTTTTTGAAAAAATACAATTTCAATTTTTGAGATTCTTTAATAACAATTCAGCAAAGTTTTCTATAAAAATATATGCAACTTTTATAAGTGAAAAAAAATCAGAGACTTTTTTTCATAGTTTCATAGAGACTTCATTTCTATTTTTTTATAAAAAATTAAAATTTATTTATTTATTTATTTTTTATTTTATTTTTATTTATTTTTTTTTAAATTACAATTTCAATTTTTGTGAAAAAAAAATAAATGAGGGAACAAAGCTATTATCTTCGAATTTCATACACCCAAGAAAAAAACTCAAATCGATGTTGTGTCCGTTGTAAAAAAAAGAGTAAACGAAGAAAATCTGTGTTTTAAAATTAATTAAATTTAAAAAAATTTTTGAAATTTTTTAAACAAATTATGGAACTATTTAATATTTCTGTTTATTTTCAAACCCCATTTATTTTGTTTCTTGTCAAAAAAAAAAAAAAAACTCGAATTCGCCAAACAACTCTAAATCAAAAAAACGCTACAAATTGGTTAAATACAACTCTGGGCAACATCAAAACAACGTCGTATCCAAAATGCCATCAAAATCCTCTCTCTTTCTCTCATTGCCATCATTTTTCCATCCTGGACTCTTTTGTTGTGCGAAAACAAAAAAAACTCAACTCAAAAATGATAACTGGATTGGCTTTTCAACTCCCCCCAAACATCAACACCACCACCACTTCATAAAATGCATTCCCATCCAAAAACAAAAAAAAACTATTTTTGTCAAAAATTCAAAACATTGCAAAAAAAAAAAAACGGATACGTTAGGCAAAGGGGTTTGTCGTTGTATATCTGCAGAACATGGCGATAATGAACTGGAGTTGGGTCATGACGAAATCATGGGCGATGGCTTGATCAAAAAGGGTATGAAGGGCGAGACCCAGCTGGAGGTGGCCATTGGCGATGGCATGGAGTTCACGATACATGGCGATATGAAAAACAACAAGCCCAAGAAATCAAAATTCATAAACAACACAACGGTAAGTAGGGGAGGGTCGGCCTTTGGCGGGTTCTTATTTTTTGAATTGTATGTTTATGACCTCCACCATTCTATGGAGATCATTTCGTTTGTAATTCCTAGATGTATTTTTAAGAGACCCTACAAGGTATATATATATTCTGGATCAGCGGAAAATTCTAAGGCGATCTGGCGATTTCTGTCTGTCTGTCCGTCAGTCTGTTGTAATCCCGCTATCTTTCAAACGAATTGAGATAGAAGGCTACAATTTTGCAGAAATACATAGTTTACCATAGAGCAGGTTATTTTCGTAAATGGGCCATGTCGGTCCACGTTTTCGTATAGCCCCCATATAACGGTAGCTCCCGATATTCGGTATTTTCAGGATTTTAGCGAAATTATTTATCGGAGATATTTCAAATTTCGTATTGGAAGATCTTAATGGTCACTAGAACCTATGACAAAAAATTGTCTGTGCAGGTCCACGTTTTCGTATAGCCCCCATATAACGGTACTTTCCGATATTCGGTATTTTCATGATTTTAGCGAAATTATTTACCGGAATTATTTCAAATTTCGTATTGGGAAATCTTAATGGTTACTACAACCTATGGAAAAAAAATTCGTATGAAGGTCCATGTCTTCGCATAGCCCCCCATATAAGGGTACCTCCCGCTATCCGGTATTTTTATGATTTTTGCGACAGTATTTACCAGAATCGTTTCAAATTTCGTATTGAGAGATCTTCATGGTTGCTACAACCTATGACAAAAAATTGTCTGTGCAGATCCACGTCTTCGTATAGCCCCCATATGACGGTACCTTCCGATATTCGGTATTTTGATGATTTTAGCAACATTATTCAACGGAATCTTTTCTGATGATTTCAAAGACATTATTGACCGGAATCGTTTCAAATGTGGTATTCGAAGTTCGTAATGGGTGCTACAACCTAAGACAAAAATTTTCGTATGCAGGTCCACGTCTTCGTATAATCTCCATATAACGGTAGCTCCCGAGATTCGGTATTTTGATGATTTCAGGAAAATTAATCAGCGAAATCGTTTCAAATTTCGCATTGGGAGATCTAAATGGTTACTCCAACCTATGGGAAAAAATTTCGCATGCAGGTCCATGTCTTCGTATAGCACCCATATGACGGTACCTCCCGATATTCGGTATTTTGATGATTTTAGCGTCAATATTTACCGGAATTGTTTCAAATGTCGTATTGGGAGATCTTAATGGTTACTACAACCTTTGACAAAAATTTGTGTATGCAGGTCCACGTCTTCATATAGCGCCCATATAACCGTACCTTCCGATATTCGATATTTTCATGATTTTAGCGACAGTATTTCCCGGAATTGTTTCAAATTTGGTATTTGAAGTTCGTAATGGATACTACAGCCTATGACAAAAAATTTCGTATGCAGGTCCACGACTTCGGTACCTTCCGATATCCGGTATTTTGATGATTTTAGCGTCAATATTTACCGGAATCGTTTCAAATTTCATATTGGGAGATCTTAATGGTTACTAAAACCTATGGAAACAAAATTTCGTATGCAGGTCCATGTCTTAGCCCCCATATAAGGGTACCTCCCGATATTCGGTATTTTGATGATTTCAATGACATTATTTACCGGAATTGTTTCAAATTTTGTATTCAAAAAAATTGAGAAAAATTGAGAAAAAAATGAGAAAAAATGTTCTATGCAGGTCCACGTCTTCGTATAGCCCCCATATGACGATATACTCCGATAATCGGTTATTTGATAATTACAGCCAAATTTTTCAATGGAAATGGCTTAAAATCCACACAAGGGGTGCCTTCGGAGTACTTTATGCCCTAGAAGAGAATTGTCTATATAGGTCCACGTTTTAGCATAGCGCCCATATAACGGAATCCGCAGATTTTCCGTATTTTCATGATTTTAGCTACATTTTTTTACGGAATTATTTAAAATTTGGTATTTGAGGCTCGTAATGGGTACTACAGCCTATGACAAAAGTGTTTGTGTGCAGGTCCATGTCTTCATATAGTCCCCATGTAACGGTAGCTCCGGAAATTCGGTATTTTCATGATTTTTCGAATTTTTTTTTATCGGAATTATTTTAAATTTCGTATTTGAAGTTCGTAATGGGTACTACAGCCTATGACAAAAATGTCTGTATGCAGGTCCATGTCTTCGTATAGCCCCCATATGATGGTACCTTCCGATATTCGGTATTTTCATGATTTTAGCGACAGTATTTGTCGGACTTATTTTAAATTTGGTATTCGAAGTTCGTAATGGGTGCTGCAGCCCATGACAAAAATTACTTATGCAGGACCACATCGGTATTTTTCGACGGAATTTTTTTTTTTTGTTTTTTTTTTTTTTTTTTTTTTTTGAATATTTTCAAATTTTCAAATTTCTCCCAAATGGTGGAGGCTATAAAAAGTTCGGCCTGGCCGAACTTAGCTGCTTTCTTAATATATTTAACTTAACTTTTCTTTACATAACCATGAATAATAACCTCCCCCTCACTCCAGATGATTGGAAACTCAATAAACCACCAAGACAATAGACTGGAACATGAGCTAAACCATAGAGGTTTGTCCATACAGGACGATGACACTGCCAGCATTAACTCATATGGTAGCCATAAGAATCGACCATTCAAGGACGAGAGCCACAAGGGCAGCGCCGAGACCATCGAGGGCGAGGAGAAACGCGACGTCAGCAAAGAGGACCTCGGCCTCGACGAGGAACTGGACGAGGAGGCCGAGGGCGATGAGGGCCAGCTGGATGGTGACATCATCATTCATGCCCAAAACGACGACGAGATAATCGACGACTATCCGGCCGACTGTTTCCCCGACTCGTACTACAAGAAGTTTCCGATCTTGGCCGGCGACGAGGACTCGCCGTTCTGGCAAGGATGGGGCAATTTACGACTGAAAACTTTTCAATTAATTGAAAATAAATATTTTGAAACCGCAGTTATCACTATGATTTTAATGAGTAGCTTAGCTTTGGTAAGTTTTTCGAAGCGAGATCTGTTGCCGGTGGCCCCCCCCAACCAGCCGCCGGTGCATTTCTTGCCCAAAAAAACCAAAAAAAAAAAATTAAATGATCACTAAATGTTGTTCGAAAAAACCGCTTTGTATATACTCTATGACAAAGTAGTGTAAAGAAAACCCCAGTAAAAACTGTACCAAAGTTGTATGACCTTTTTGAAATTTTAGCTAAAGAAACCTAAATTTAGAAAACCTTTTTAAGTTGTTGGCTTAACCTCAAGACACCCACAAATGCATTCTATTTTATTTGCTTATGATTTCCGCTTATAGAAATCAAACAAACAAAAAAGAATGTTTCTTTTTTGAAAACGAAAAAAAACGCACAAAAAAATGCCACACTTGGCGGTTTCTGGACGGGCTTACAAGGTCCTTGTTCAGAAAACATCCCCCCTTTTAATGAAATGTGTGGACACTGGCAAACTGGGGGGAAGTTGCCTCCCCTCAGTTCCGCCAGTTATCCCCGATGTTTTTTTGATCTTGTATGCCGATCTGGAAAACGTTACCTCCTCGCGCGCAGCATATTTTTTGCTTAACAACGCTTACAGCCGCCTAAGCAAAAAATGGCTTCTACGTAACCACCCAACAAAAACGCTTCAATAATTTTGTCTTCAATTTCTTTGAAAATTTTTCTTTAAAAAATCAATGTTGAAACACATAGCGTCCAAAAATAATTGCCTTTTATCCTTAAATGTTGTTCCATGTTGTGTTCCGTATCTAGTTATTTATTATTGTTGTTGTTCTAGAGCTTTACACCTTTCCGCCAATGACTATGAGTCTTAAACTAATCATGCTTTTATTGTGTTGTGTTCTCCCCCCCTCTGCAGGCCTTAGAAGATGTTCATTTACCCGATCGACCTGTCATGCAGGATATACTGTACTACATGGACAGGATATTTACGGTGATATTCTTTTTGGAGATGTTGATCAAATGGTTGGCCCTGGGCTTTAAGGTTTACTTCACCAATGCCTGGTGTTGGCTGGATTTCGTGATTGTCATGGTAAGTTGCAACGTTTGCCAATTGAAAAAGGAATTCGAAAAATAAAATATTATTTCCAAATATACGAATTACACACCAAAAAACCCACACTTGACACCAAACTGACATACAACAACAACAGCAAATATTTAAGATTCCAAGGACTGCAAAACACACATACACACATAAAACGGACGGGAATGATAATTTTTTTCTTCGTGGAAGAAAAAATTGTAAAAAAATCTATATAATTTGTATTATAACAAAAGTAATTTATTTATATATAATTTATGGTTTTAGAAAACAGTTTTGAGTTTCAAAAAAAATACAAAAAAAATAGGTGAAATTTTAGGTTATGGTTTTAGTTACAAGTTTGAGTAATTTTTTTCAGTAAAAACGTTTGAAATAAATACACTAAATATTTGTTATTATTATTTATTATGATTTTAGTAAAAAATATAAATTAGGTTTTAGGTTAAATCTTAAATTTTTATATAAATATTTTTTTTTTTATTTTTTTTCTAATGAAATTTTTTGAGTTGAAAATCAAAATTTGCATATTTTACAGATTTTAGTTAAAAATATAAATTAGGTTTTAGGTTAACATTTTAGTTACAAGTTTGAGTAATTTTTTTTCAGTTAACCTTTTTCAAATAAATATACCATATAATTTGTAACGTATTTTTATACCCTCCACCATACTATGGAGGGTATATTAACTTTGTCATTCCGTTTGTAACTTCTCGAAATACTCATATCAGACCCAACAAAGTATATATATTCTTGATCAGCGTAAAATTCTATGTCGATTTAGCGATGTCCGTCTGTCTGTCTGTCTGTCCGTCTGTCTGTCCGTCTGTCTGTCTGTCTGTTGTAATCACGCTATCTTTCGAATGAATTGAGATAGATGGCTAAAATTTTGCACACATGTTTATTTTTCCAATAGGCAGGTTAAGTTCGTAAATGGGCCATGTAGGTCCACGTTTTCATATAGCCCCCATATAACGGTACCTCCCTATATTCCGTATTTTGATGATTTTAGCGACATTATTCACGGGAATTGTTTCAAATTTGGCATTTGAAGTTCAAAATGGATACTACACCATAAGACGGAAAATTGTCTGTGCAGGTCCACGTCTTCGTATAGCCCCCATATAACGGTACCTCCCGATATTCGGTATTTTGATGATTTTAGCAACATTATTCACCGGAATTGTTTCAAAATTGGTATTTGAAGTTCGTTATGGGAACTACAGCCTGTGACAGAAAATTGTCTGTGTGGGTCCAGGTCTTCGTATAGGCCCCATATATCAGTACCTCCCTATATTCGGTATTTTGACGATTTTAGGTACAATACCCACCGAAATTGTTTGAGATGTGGTATTTGAAGTTCGTAATGGATGCTACAGCCTGTTACAAAAAATTGTCTATGCTGGTCCAGGTCTTCGCACACCTCCTTATATACGATATTTTGATGATTTTAGCTACATTATTGACTGTTTATTTCAAGTTTCGAATTTGAATATGGTAATGGCTTATGACAAACAATGCCTATGCATGTCCACGTCGTATAGACCCCAATATAACGGCTATATTCGGTATTTTTAAAATTTTAAGGATTTTATTTTTTTTAAGAATTTTATTTTTTAAAAATTTCCAAATTCGTTGCTAATTGAGGGTATTAAAAGTTCGGCCCGGCCGAACTTACTGCTTTTTAACTTGTTTTATTTTTAGTTAATTTTTTTTTTTTTTTTTGAGTTAAAAATCTTAATTTTAAATTTTTTTTAAGATTTAAAATCAAAAATTGCATATTTTACAGATTTAAGTAAAAAATATAAATTAGGTTTTAGATTAACATTTTAGTTACAAGTTTGAGTATTTTTTTAGTTAAACGGTTGAAATAAATACACCAAATAATTTGTATTATTTTTTTTTAATTTATTTTTTCTAAAGAAATATTTTAAGTTGAAAATCAAAAATTGAATTTTTTACAGATTTTAGTAAAAAATATAAGTTAGGTTTTAGGTTACAAATTTGAGTAAATTTGTCAGTTAAAATTTTTGAAATAAATTTACTAAATAATTTGTATTATATATATTTTTTTTTAATTATTTTTTGTCAAAAAAATTTTAGGTCTAAAATTATCAAAATTTTTTTTTCAGATTTTAGTAAACAAATTTAGGTTCATAGTTACCATGAATTTTTGTTGGTTACAAGTTTGAGTTATTATTTCATTTTTAAGTTTGAAATAAACACAGCAAATAATTTGTGTCATTTTTTTTTTAATTTTTGTTTTTAAATTTTGAGTTTGTAGCCTTATATTTCCAAAAAAAAGTTATAGATTTTAGCCAAAATTCTTAGGTTAATATTCACCATTTTTTTTAAGTTCCATTAAATTTTTTTTAACATTTTAGTTACAAGTTTGAGTAAATTTTTGAGATAAAAATTTTAAATAAAATTAAATAAAAATCTGTTAAAAAAATACAATTAAAGATTTTATTTTTTTAAGATTTTTTTTTTTTTGTCAAAAAAAGAAATATATTTGAAAATCTTAAATTGCAATTTTTTTATACAAATTTTATTTGAAAATATTGATGAAATTTTAGTTAAAAATTTAAAGATATTTCACTTGAAAATGTTGATGAAATTTTAGTCGAAAAATTCAATTGTATAATAATTTTTTTTCAAAAATCTTTGAAAAAACGTATCGAAATGTAATCAAAACTTTCAAGTAAAATTTTCATTTTTTAATCTCTTAAAAAATTGAAATTTTAGGATTTTATTTATTTATTTTTTTTGTTGCAAAATGGTCAGGCTTAATCCCTTTATTGTTGTTTTATAAAAACAATGTTTGTTTATTAGTCGAGAACGATGGTAATGTTTACCAGGGGGTAAGGCAGGGAATACCTGTTTTTGACAAAAAAAATCACATTATTTGAAAATCTTAAATTGACATGTTTTAACAGATTTTAGAAAAAAATTTAATTAAAAATTTTGTTTGAAAATGTTGATGAAATTTTACTTGAAAATTTCATGAAATTTTGGTTAAAATTTTTGTTGAAAAATTCGATGAAATTTTACGTTAATTTTATTTTTATTTTATTTTATTTTTTTGTTAAATTTTAAAAATGCTTTCAATTATATTTATACCCTACACTACACTGAATTATTTCCATATGCATTTGTCTGTAACGATCTGAACAGAATCACATTCTGAGTCGACTTTTGACTTTTGTCGGTCCGGGTGGTATTTATTATCCGATCGAGATGAAATTCTGTCATTTGTTTGGCCTAAGAACGAACCCTACTGAAATTGGTGAGAATCGCTTCAAATTTAGATATAGCTCCCATCGAATCGGATACAGCCCTTATCGATACAGCCCTTGTGCACCAAATGAGTAATGAGTAAATTGGAGATTTTTAAAAAATAAATTTCTTCTCGAAACCACATGCATTCGATAGCCATGTTATTTCGTACGAGAGGTAAAAATCGCTCCGTCAAATTTGATGAAAAGCGATCCGGAGTTGTATATACCTCCCAATTTTACTCCCTTTTCTCCTAAAGCAGAAAGTGATTACAATAAGCTGTAATGAGAGGACAACTACCATATCAAATGTGAACCTCTTTATTACAAACTTCTAAAGCAGAATTGCCAACTTTTTAATTGGAAACTGTTTCCAAGACGCGTGAACATCCCTTATACAGCCTTCGGTGGCAATGCTGCCACTTCGATATTTTACATGCTAGACTTCAACGTGAGGACCTTTAATGCAAAGATAACATCGTAGTTCTATCTCAAAACTACCTTATCAATTGGGAGCCGCCCTATTACAAACTTCTAAATTAGAATTGCCAACTAATGGCTGGTGGTGTGGGGTATCATCTGTCGGCGCAGGCCGATTTTTAAACTTTCTTTACTGGTTATTGTTAGGAATTGTGGTATAATTTTTTTCATTTTTAGTTTTTAATTTCTTTAAAGATTCTAGTTAAATTTTTATTATTTTTTTTATTCATTTATTTTTTTTTTTTTTTTAAATTCAAAATAATTTCCCAATTTTTTTAATTAAATTTTTATTGTTTTTTTTTTATTATTTTTTATCTAATTTTTTTTTTTTTTTGAAATTCAAAATAGTTTCCCCAATTTTTTCTATTTATCATTTTATTTTTTTGTTGATTTTCAAACACCTAGTTAAGAATCTAGCAAACTAGTTAGGATCATATTAATACAACTAGTATTTAAAAATAGATTTTAGCCATATAACCATACTATATACCGAATAATATTATATACCTAGCAATAGTTAACAACAAAAAACATTATTATTTATTATTTCTAAAATTAATTTGATTAATAACAACCTACCTCCTCCAACCTCCCCCGCACTTCATCCAACGTAACATAGCTATCGCTTATAAATTTGGTTGCCGTTTGGTCGGGCTTAAATGATATAGCCGTGTTTAGATCAATGCGCACACTGCGCGCCCTAAGGCCATTGCGTGCTGTCTCTAGATGGGAGGGTATGAAAGTAAGTAAATGCAACAACAGTCTATCACCAAAGTCTATCAAAACTAGATTTTGAGTCCAAGAAACTGAAACGGTGTTCACAACTCTAATCTCTTTTCTAAAACTAATCCCCTCCAAAAAAAAAATTCCCCCTAAATGTTGTGTTGCCACCTTTTAACAAAAAAAAAAAAAGAAAAATAAATAAAACTGTGTTGGTGTTATTTGTTAATAATGCTCTAACTACTACTACAACTATACTACTACTACTGCCACAAATACTACAACAACTTACAATACTTACGACATGACACAAGCCAGCTGTCGGACGCAAAAAAAAATATTCCAGCGAAAGCTAGCCAATTTTCTAAGAGAGAAAATGCGAGAGAGAGTAACATGAATTTTATTCTCTCTTCTTACAATTATAGCTCTCCCAATACGCTGCTATGAGAGAACTTTAAATGTAAAGATATTTAGATAATTCTATCATACAACCGATTTTTTAAATGTGAACCCCCC